CAGTGGGTTAAAGCCTCTGCATTCAGCCCATCAGGGTCCTGGGATCGAGCCCCACATCAGGCTCTCTGCTCAGCAGAGAGCCTGCTTCCCCCTCTCTCTCTCTCTGCCTGCCTCTCTGCCTACTTGTGATCTCTGTCTCTCAAATAAATAAACAAAATCTTAAAAAAAAAAAATGAAGGTGGAAATATGGGATGCCTGGGTGGCTCAGTCAGTTAAGTGCCTACCTGCTGCTCAGGTAATATATCCCAGGGTCCTGGGAATGAGCCCTGCATTGGGATCCTTGCTTGGCAGGGAGCCTGCTTCTTCCTCTGCCTGCTCTGCCTGCTCTCCCTGCTTGTGCTCTTTCTCTGACTCTGACAAATAAATATATAAAATCTTTTTTTAAAAAATGAAGGCGGAAATAGTCTGTATAGGCCTATATCTATTAAAGAAATTGAATCAATAATGATTAACTTTCTAAAACAGAGGACTAGGCCCACATAGGCTCACTGGTAAATTCTACCAAACATGTAACAAAGAAATTATACCGTTCTCTACAATTTCTTCCAATGACAGAGGAAGGGGAATACTTCCTAATGCATTCTATGAGACTAACATTACTCTAATACCAAAAGCACCCACACCTTACATGAAAACTACAGACCAATATTTCTTATAAACCTAGTTGCAAAAAATCCACAACAAAATACTAGAAAATTGAGTACAACATGTATTTAAAAAAAGAATTATTCACCATGACCTCAGTGAGATTTAACTCAGGCATACAAAGTTAGTTTTTAACATATGAATATCGACTCATGGAATCCATCACATCAACAGGCTAAAAAAGCAAAATCACATGATTGTATCATTAGATGTAGGAAAAGATTTTGACATAATTCAATATATGCCCATTCATTATTTAAAAACAAACAAACAAACAAACAAACACACAACTCTCAGTAAACTAGGAACAGAGGAGAAACCTTCAACTTGAGGAATAAAAAGCCACAAACTAACATCAAAGTGAGAAACTAGAACCTTTCTCACAAAATCAGGCACAAAGCAATGATGTCCCCTATAATCATTCCTTTTCAATGTCATACGGGAAGTCCTAACTAATGCAATAAAAAAAAAAAAAAAGGAAAGGAAAGGTATACAGATTGGGGATGAAGAAATAAAACTGTCTCTCTTCACAGGTGACATGATTATCTATGTAGGAAATCTGAGTCTGGACTTCTGGGGAAGATGACACAGTAGGAGGACCCGAGGCTCACCTCATCCCACACATCAACTAGATAGCACTCACATACGTATAAATAACCCCAAAAATGATCTGAAGACTGGCAGAATAAAGTCCACAAATAAATGTAGAGAAGACAATACACTGAAGATGGTTGGAAAGGCAGAGAAGTGATCAGAAACTAAATGGACTCACAGGACTATCCACAGGAGGGAGAGACGCCATGGGCATGGAAAGGGGAGAAAAACAGACCCCCACACTGGGAAGCCCACATGGCGAAGATGAATCTCTATAACATTTGGCTTTGAAAACCAGAGGGACAGAATTTTATGAGTCCTTACAACCAGTAGGACTTAAAATGTGGAATTTTTTTAAAAACCTGGAAGAGCCAGTAGGCAGAGGAAACTGAGTCCCTGCCCTTAAATAGATGGCACCACAAACAGCCCGTGGAGATACAGCATAGAAGGAGTCTGAAAAGCTATACAGGAAGGAGAGTATTTATTAATGTCAACATGTGTCCCAGAGGGACATCAAAGAACAAAGGAACTGGCAAGCACAATTTCCTTCCCCTGCCCCCCCAGTGTGAACACACAGCCACTTGCAGAAATTGCTACCTAACTGGCTAGCACTGCTGCCCATTCTCCCTGCCCAGTGCTTCCACTAATCCACCCGTCCAGATGGCCCACCTCAGACCCTGCGTTGCACAGCCCTGCCCACAGTGGAATGGTGGCAAGCAAAGCTTGCTAGCACAAGGGCCCTGACACAACTCCCCAGCTGTGCTTCCTCAAATCTACTCTCTCTGATGCACTCTTGGTCAAAGCCGAGGGCAGTGCCCCAGGACTGGCCATGCACAAGCAGCCCCCACAGTGGCCAGCACCACTCCAAGTGACTCCTGCTCTGGGGTGAAGGAAAGATAATCACCCAACACCAGTCAGATGGAGCCCTCAGCAGTGGGCTGGAGGCAGATATCTGGTCTGACTGCAGGCCTCACCCACCAATGAAAGCTTCTCAGGGGACAACAGAAGAAAAGTGTCCTACAGTTTATAGAGCTACCGCATGTTTGGCAAATGCCCAGTCTGACTCACCTCAAGCCCAAGGCAGTCCAGACTGACCAATTACACCACAGGAACTGAACACTGCCCTGAACACAGCTGTCTTTCCTAACACAGAGAAACAGACACACAGAGTTAGACAAAATGAGGAGACAGAGGATTATGTCCCAAATGAAAGAAGAGGATAAAATCACAGGAAAAGACCTAAACACGATGGAGATAAGTAATATGCCTATTAAAGAATTTAAAGTAGAGATCATAAAGATACTCACTGCACTCACAAAAAAAAAAAAGTGGAGGACATCAGTGAAACCCTTAACAGTAAAATTAAAAAGAACCAATCAGAGACAAAGAACACAGTAAGTGAAATTAAAAATACACTAGATGGAATAAATAGTAGAGTAGATGAAGCAAAACAAATCAGTGGCCTGGAGGAGAGAGTAATGGAAAGTAAGCAAGCTGAGCAGGTGAAAGAAAAAAAAATTATGCAAAATGAGAATAGATTTAAGGAACTTAGTTAGACCATCAGGCATAATCACATTCACATTACAAGGATCCCAGAAGAAGAAGAGAAAGAAAAGGGCACAGAAAATTTGTTTGAAAAAAAAATAATAGGGATGCCTGGGTGACTCAGTTAAGTGTCTGCCTTCAGCTCAGGTCATAATCCCAGGGTCCTGGGATCAAGCCCCACATCAGACTCCCTGCTCAGTGGAAAGCCTGCTTCTCCCTCTCCCACACCCCCTGCTTGTCTTCCTGCTCTCACTGTCTCTCTTTCTCTCTGTCAAATAAATCAATAAAATCTTTAAAAAAAAGAAAAAGAAAAAGAAAAGAAAAGAGAAAGAAAAAAATAATAGCTGAAGAATTCCCAACTCTGTGGATGGAAACAGAAATCTAGATCCAAGAGGCACAGAAATCCCCCCCAAAAAATCAACCCAAGGAGGTCCACACCATGTCACATAGTAATTAAAATGGCAAAAAGTAGTGATAGAGAATTTTAAAAGCAACAAGAAAAGAAAGGAGTTACATATAAGGGAAACCACAAAAGGCTATCAGCTGATAGCCTTTGCAGGCAAGAATACATACTCTATCTAGTAAGACCATCATTCAAAATAGAAGAAGAAATAATTTCCCAAACATTCCCAAAAATTACCACTAAGCCAACCCTACAAGAAATGTTAAAGGGACTCTTTGAGTGGAAAGGAAATATCATAAGCAAGAGTAAGGAAAGTAAGCAGCACAAAATCAATAAAAATAACCTATATCTGTAGAAATCAGTCAAGGAACTCACAAAACAAAAGGATATAAAATATAACACCCTATATATAAAACATGGGGAGGAGAGGAGTAAAGAATGGGTTTAAACATAAGTGACTATCAACTTAATATAAACTGCTATACACAGAAGATGTGATATACAAACCAAATGGCAATTGTAAATCAAAAACCAATAATACGGGGCACCTGGGGGCTCAGTCAGTTGAGCATCTGAGTCTTGATTTCAGTTCAGGTCATGATCTCAGGGATGAGGGTCAAAGTCATTGCATACATCTTTTCTAACCACAAGGTTATGAAATTAGAAGCCAATCAAAAGAAAAAAATCTGGAAAGAACACAAATACATGAAGGTTAAATAATATGCTACTAAACAATGAATAGGTCAACTAAGAAATTAGCAAAGAAATAAAAAAATACATGGAGACGAATGAAAGTGAAAAGCCAACAGTCCAAAAACTTTGGGAAGCAGCAAATGCTGTTCTAAGAGGAAATGTTATAGCAATACAGGTCTAACTCAAAAAGCAAGAAAAATCTCAAACAATCTAACTTTATGCCTAAAGGAGCTAGAAAAAGAACAGACAAAACACAAAAACCAACAGAAGAAAGGAAATAATAAAGATTAGAGCAGAAATAAACAAAATAGAAACTAAAAAAACAATATAAGATATCAACAAAACCAGAAGGTGATTCTTTAAAAAATCAACAAAATTGGGGCACCTGGGTGGCTCAGTGGGTTAAAGCCTCTGCTTTCAGCTCAGGTCATGATCTCAGGGTCCTGGGATCGAGTACCACATCGGGCTCTCTGCTCAGCGGGGAACCTGCTTCCTCCTCTCTCTCTGCCTGCCTCTCTGCTTACTTATGATCGCTGTCTGTCAAATAAATAAATAAAATCTTTTTTAAAAAATCAACAAAATTTATAAAACTTTAGCCAAATTTGTCAAGGGAAAGAGAAAGAGATGACTCAAAAAAACAAAATCAGAGGAGAAATAACAACCAATGTCACAGAAATACAAAGGATAATAAGGGAATATTATGAAAAATTATATGCCAACAAATTGGACAACTTATAAGAAATGGATAAATTTCTAGAAACATATAACCTTCCAAAATTGAATCAGGAAGAAATAGAAAATTTGAACAGACTGATTACCAGCAATGAGATTGAAACAGTAATCAAAAAAACTCCCAACAATCAAAAGTCCAACACAAGAGGACTTCACAGGTGAATTTTACCAACCATATAAAGAAGACTTAATAACTATTCTTCTCAAACCATTCCAACAAAAGAGAAAGGAAAATTTCCAAGTTCTTCTTATGAGGCCTGCATTACCTTGATACCAAAACCATATAAAGACACTACCAAGGTACCTGGGTGGTTCAGTCAGTTAAGTGTTCAACTCTTCATCTCAGCTCAGGTCTTGATCTCAGGGTCATGAGTTTAAGCTCCCCATTGGACTCCATGCTGGGCATGGAATCTACTTTAAAAAAAAAAAAAAAAAAGATGCTACAAAAAAAAAAAAAAAAAAACCTGTAGGTCAATATCTCTAATGAACACAGATGCAAAAATCCTCAACAAAACATTAGCAAACTGGATCCAACAATACATTTAAAAACTCATTCACCATGATTAAGTGGAATTTATTCCAGGATGCAAGAATGGTTCAATATTTGCAAATCAATCAATGTGATACATCACATTGATAAGAGAAAGGATAAAAACCATATGATTGTTTCAATAGATGCAAAAAAAGCATTTGATGAAGTGCATCCACTCATGATAAAAACCCTCAACAAAATAGGTTTAAAGGGAACATACCTCACCATAATAAAGGCCGTGTATGAAAAACCCACTGCTAACATCATACTCAATGGTAAAAAACTGAACGTTTTCCCCTTAAGATCGGAAATAAGACAAAGATGTCCATTCTCACCACTTTTATTCAACATAGTACTGGAAGTCTTGGGCATGGCAATCAGATAAGGAAAAGGAATGAAAGGCATCCAAATTGGTAAGGAACAAATAAAACTTTCACTATTTGCAGATGACATGATAATATATATAGAAAATATAAAAGATTCCACAAAAAATTACAAGAACTGATAAACGAATTCTGTAAGATCATAGGATACGAAGTCAATGTACAGAAATCCTTTGCATTTCTATATGTTACTAATGAAGCAACAGAAAAAGAACTTAAATTATATATATATAATTAAGCCATTAAAAAGAATGAGATTTTGCCATTTGTAGCAATATGGATAGAACTAGAGAATATAATACTAAGTGAAATAAGTCAGTCAGAGAAAGAGAAATACACGATTTCAGTCACATGTGGAGTTGAATAATAAAACTCAGAAAATTAAAAATAGAGATACCCTATGACCCGGCAAATGCACTACTGGGTATTTGCTCCAAAGATACAGATGTAGTGAAAAGAAGGCACACATGCACCCCAATGTTCCTAGCAGCAATGTCCACAATAGCCAAACTGTGGAAAGAGCTGAGATGCCCTTCAACAGATGAATGGATAAAGAAGTTGTAGTCCATATATACAATGGAATATTACTCAGCCATCAAAAAGAAGGAATACTTGACTTTTGCATCAACATGGATGGGACTGGAGGAGATTATGCTGCGTGAAATAAGCAAAGAGAGTCAATTATCATATGGTTTCACTTACTTATGAAACATAAGGAATAGCATGAAGGACATTAGGAGAAGGAAGGAAAAAAGGAAGGGGGTGTGGAATCAGAGTGGGAGATGAACTACGAGAGACTGTGGACTCTGAGAAACAGAGGGTTTGGTGGTGGGGGTTGGGATATGGTTTGGTCCAGTGATGGGTATTGGAGGGCACATATTGCATGGAGCATTGGGTGTTATATGTAAACAATGAATCTTAGAACACATCAAAATCTAATGATGTACTGTATGATGACGAACATAACATAAAAAATTTAAAAATTTTACTTTATTTTTTTAAGATTTTATTTATTTATTTGAGAGAGAGAGAGATCACAAGCAGACAGAGAGGCAGAGCAGAGAGAGGGGGGAAGCAGGCTCCCTGATGAGCAGAGAGGCCGATGCGGGACTCGATCCCAGGACCCTGGGATCATGACCTGAGCCGAAGGCAGAGGCTTAACCCACTGAGCCACCCACACGTCCCAAAATTTAAAATAAATCACAGATGAACAAAGGAAAAAGAGAGAGAGAGAGACAAACCAAGAAATACTCTTAACTCTAGAGAATAAACTGATGGTTATCAGAGGGGAAGTGGGGGGGGGGGGGGGGGGATGGGCAAAATAAATGATGGGTATTAAAGAGTACACTTATCCTGATAAGCACTGAGTAAGGTACAGACTTGTTGAATCATTGCATTGTATACCTGAAACTAATAAAACAACGTATGTTAACTATACTGGAATTAAAATTTAAGACTTATTAAAAAATTAAATTTTTAAAAAGAAAGAAAAATCTGAGTCCCCAAAAATCTCTGAAAATTAATAACTGACTATAGCAAGGTTGTAGGGTAAAAGGTTAATATATAAAAGTCAATTATTTTTCTATATTCCAGCAATTAACAAGAAGAATTTGAAATTAAAAACACAATACCATTTATATTAGACCCCAAAATGAAATACTTAGGTAAAAATATAACAAGATATGTACAGATCTATATAAGGGAAAGTCTGATGAATAAAATCAAAGAAGAGATAAATTAATGGGGAGACATTCCATGTTGATGGATAGGAAAGCTCAATATTGTTAAGATGTCCATTCTTTCCAAATTGATCTACAGATGTAATGAAATCACAATCACAATCCCAGCAAATTATTTTGTGGATATCAATAAACTGATTTAAAGTTTATATGGAAAGGAAAAAGACCTATAGTGACAACACAATTTTAAAAGATGAGAACAAAGTGCCCAACATCAAGACTTTCTATAAAGTTATAGTAATCAAAATAATGTGGTAATAACAACAGAATCGACAACAGATCAATGGAGCAGAACAGAGAACCCAGAAATAAACCCATGTAAATATAGTCAACTGACCCAGCAAAGAGCAAGGGCAGTATAATGGAGAAACAGCAGCCTTTTTAGCAAATGGTGCTGGAACAACTGGACATCCACATGCAAAAAATGAATCTAGACACAGACATTACACTCTTCAACTTAAAATGGATCAAGACTTAAATGTAAGATGTGAAACTATAAGACTTTCTTATAACATGAGAAAACCTAGTTGACTTTGTGTTTGGCAATGACTTTTTTTTAAGATTTTATTTATGTATTTGAGAGAGAGAGATTGAGAGAACAAGTGGGAGGAGGGGCAGAGGGAGGGGCAGAGGGAGAAGCAGACTCCCCATGGAGCAGGGAGCCCAGTGAGGGGCTCAATCCCAAGACCTGAGATCATGACCTGAGCCAAAGGCAGATGCTTAACTGACTGAGCCAACCAGGTGCCCTGGTGATGAGATTTTAATACGACACCAAAGGCATAATCCATGAAAGAAAGAATTGATAAGCTGGACTTCATTAAAATTAAATATTTCTGCTCTGCAAAAGGCACTGTCAAGAGAATGGAAAAAAAAAGCCACAGACTGGGAGAAAATCCCTGCAAAAGACATATCTGATAAAAGACTATTATCCAAAATATACAAAGCACTCTTAAAACTCAATAAGAAAACAACCTGATTTTTAAAGTAGGCCAAAGACCCAAACAGACATTCCTCCATTGTAGATGCCAAATTAGCATATGGAAAGATGTTCCTCATCATATGTCATCGGAGAAGTAGAAATTAAAACACCAATGAGATACCACTGCACACCTACTAGAATGGCCAAAATCCAGAACACCGAAAAAACCAAATGCTGACCTTGTCAGTGGAGTGACCCTTTCACTGCTGGTGGGCATGCAAATGGTGCAGCCAATTTGGGAAACAGTCTGATGGTTTTTTACAAAACTAAACATTCTCTTAATATATGACCCAGCAATTTCACTCCTTGATATTAACCCAAAGGAGTTTAAAACTTAGGTTCAGGCAAAAACCTGAACACAGATGTGTATAGCAGCTTTGACTGTATAACAGCGATGATTGACAAATTGGAAGCAAACAAGACATCCTTCAGTAGGTGAATGGATAAATAAACCTGTAGATTTAATTTGCTTTGCATTTTCCCATCTTATTTGGTATTGTTTATAAACAGTACTTAAAGTGCAACCATTGACTTAACAATGTCCCACCATTCGTCGTTAAGGAATTTTAGGCTCTAAATACATATGATGCTAATTGCTTTCCAGAAAGACTGGACTAGCTTTTTACCCTCCCATCAAGGCCAGTGGAATCTGGATAAGTTATATTTTTGCCTTCGTGTGAAAAATTGTCTTTTATGCTAAACAACAAATAGGAATTTCCCCCTCCAGTAATGACAGACTAAGACTTGCCTGGAAAACTTCCCCCAGAAAAGAAGTATAAGCCATGGACATGATCCAAAAAGCAAATACCTCAGTGAGGAGGAGAGGAAGGGAGCTGTTGCAGGGAAGTTCCCAGGAAAGTTTGTGGCTTCTATTTCAGGACTCAATGTAGTCCCCTCGGAGTACACAGTCTTGGAGGAGCCGCTAACTGAAAACAGCAGTCTCTTTGGCCGGAAAAGCCTGAAACTACGGAATTGCGGCCATTGAATAGAATGGAGGAAGCCTGAAAGGGAAAAAGCAGAAGAGGGTTTCACCAAAGTGCCCACCCACATGTCTGGGTGACCCTGAACCGCGCATGGGGGAATCAAACACAGCAGCATATCTAAAGACGAAATACCAAACTGATCCTGACACTGTAACCCAAAAAAATAGACTTTGCAATTCAAGCAGACAAGATCATTGCCTGCCGAAACAAGAGAAACAATGATTGTGAGAGAAAAATAACAATATGGAATTTCCACAATTTAACATCTATTATGTCCAGGCTACAATAAAAAAAATTGCCGAATCATATAAAGAACCAAGAAAATGGGACACATTCTCAAAAGAGATGAAAATCAACAGAGTCCAATGCCAGGATGTTCCAGATCCTGGGAGTAGTGGACAATGATTCCAAACAGCTATTATAAATCTCAATGGGGACGCCTGGGTGGCTCAGTCAGTTAAGCATCTGCCTTCAGCTCAGGTCATGATCCCAGGGTCCTGGGATCGAGCCCTACATGCGGCTCCCTACTCAGCAGGGAACCTGCTTCTCCTTCTCCTGCTTCCCCTGCTTGTGCTTTCTATTTGTGAAGTAAGTAAATAAATAATCTTAAAAAAAAAAAGAGAGAGAGAGAAAGAATTCTCCTCAGTGAAGTCAAGTAAAATGCTTTCAGTGAGTATAAAATAAGAAATCCCGGGAGAGAAATAAAAATGATTAAAGAAAGAACCAGATGAAATTCTAGAACTGAAAAATAATAGTATCTGAGATTTTAAAAATCACTGGATTGACTTATTAGACAAAGGGAGATGACAGAGGAAAAAGTAAGCATCCTTGAAGAGAGATCAATAAAAATTGTTCAGTGTCCCTCAGTTCCTCAGCAGAACAGAGGAAAAGAAAGAAAAACATAAGATGGTGAATGAACACCAAGCAGCACAAACAGGAAAAATCTTTCACCACAACACTTAGATAGTCCAGCTGTTGAAGGCCAAAAATAAATAGCAAATCTTGAGAGTGGTAAGAGGAAAAAACCACGTTACATCCTGGGGAGCAGCGATCTACTTAACAAGTGAATCCAGCTCAGAAACCATCCAGGCCAGATGAGTATGGACCAACATTTTTAAAGTGTGAAAACAGCAATCAACCTGAAATTCTACATCCTTCAAGAATGAAAATGAAACAAAGACAGTTTCAGATGAAAGAAGACTGAGAAATCATCACCAAGAAACCTACGTTACTGGAAACGCTAACATTTCAGGCTAAAAGGAAATGATGCCAGTTAGAAAGTTGGATCCTCAAAAATAATAAGAAGGATGAGAAGGGATAAATTATCTGGAGACATGAAAACATGGGTTTCTTCTCTCCACTCTTTCCCCTTTTAAATTCTTAAAAATCAAAGTTGTTTAAAGGAAAAATTATAAAAATAATTTTGTTTTCGATAATCCAAAGTTAAGTGTTATTTACTCAGCAAATGAGCATCTATGTGGACAAAGGATATACTTACCGTGAGCAGGCACCATACCAAGCCTTTTCCGTGCACCCATTTCATTTGCCACAGTAGTCCTGTAAGATAAGAACCCACTTTTATGTGAGAGGAAATGGAGTGTGTGAGGACCCAGGGACATGCATAGCAGAGCTGGTACCTGATCCCAATTCTGTCTGATCCTCACACCCCAGGTCTCAATGACTTCCACCCTCCTGCCTCTGGAAGAACCAGTCCGTCTGGTCTAGAAGATGTGAGACACACCTGGAAATGCCCTGTGGAGAGTCAGGAAAGACATATAGAGAAGGGCCTGCAGTGTTAGTAGGAGGAGAGACTGGAGAGAAGCAGGGAAAACCTCAGTGAGGAAAGGGGGATTTTAATAAGCCTTGAGCAGTGGTTAAGGTTTGTCCTGGCATTCCAGTAGGAATAAGCAAATCGTTTTGGGGAGGGAGCATGGAGTTAGTAACCCTATCAGACTGACACTAATATTTTATGCTGGAAACCGGTGTAAAATTGGTTTAGAAGGGGCGCCTCGGTGGCTCAGTGGGTTAAGCCTCTGCCTTGGCTCAAGTCATGATCTCAGGGTTCTGGGATCGAGACCCGAATCAGGCTCTCTGCTCAGCGGGGAGCCTGCTTCGCCCTCTCTCTGCCTGCCTCTCTGCCTACTTGTGATCTCTCTCTCTCTCTCTGTGTCAAATACCTAGATAAAATCTTTTTAAGAAAGAAAAGGAAGGAAGGAAGGAAGGAATAAATAAATAAATAAATAAATAGGTTTAGAAAAGTGAAATGGAGCCAGACTAGAAAATCCGGGCTAATTTGCGACGACGTGGATGGAACTAGAGGGTATCATGCTTAGCGATAAGTCAATCGGAAAAAAACAACTATCATATGATCTCCCTGATATGAGGAAGTGGAGATGCAACTTGGGGGGTTTGGGGGTAGGAAAAGAATAAATGAAACAAGATGGGACCTGGAGGGAGACAAACCATAAGAGACTCTTAATCTCGCAGAATAAACTGAGGGATAGGGTGGTTGTGTGATGGACATTGGGGAGGGTATGTACTATGGTGAGTGCTGGGAAGTGTGTAAACGTGGCGATTCACAGACCTGTACCCCTGGGGCTAATAATACATTATATGTTTATAAATTAATTTATTAATTAAAAAAAGATTAAATCTACCAAAAAACATTAAGAAAAAAAAAAAGAAAATCCGGGCTACAAGGTAGTGTATAGCCACGTATATATGCACACGTGTACGTACTGGTATGCACGCATGTGTGTATCATATTAGAAGTCCTTTTCCAAACCCCAGACTCCTCATTCCTTATAGACCCCTCCCCTCTCCTTCACATCCTCGTCTGGATGCACGTGCCCTCCCGTTCCCACCTCCTGCTGGCTCCTCAGTCCATGGAAATCTGGATTTTGTCTTCACCGCCCCCTGCAATGGGTCACACTGAAGTCTCCAGTGGGCTCTCAAGTTTCAGATCCAGAGCACGTGTCTCCCTGACTGCCACAGTCATTCAAGTTCCTAACCACCCCAGTTGGAAGCAGAAGTTCCCGTTTCTCAGATTCTCTGCGTGGGTTGGCTTTCTGTGTTCTTCTTCCTTTCTCTTAAGTCAGGTTCTTGCGGGTTCTCGTCTCTCATGGTTCACGTAGCCTTACTCCTCCCCCAGCCTTACTTCCCCATCAGCACCCAGGACTTCAGCCCGCCTAGACTCTAATGAGACCCCAGTTCTGAGCTCCCCATCTATAGCTGGACGGCTCTGTCCAGAGCTGGGGGGAAGCTGAGATTTTCTCTACTTCCTGCCGGTTTCAGGAATGTGGTAAAAGACACAGAGATCAAGGGCAGTACATTAGTCACAGCGACAGCTGTCCCCAGAGCATCAGCATTTTTGTGCTGGTTCCTAGAACCCCAGTTCCCACCTGGCAAACGAAGAAGGCCAGGTGAGCCTTGGACATGCAACAGATTGCCTTAGAGGAGAGAAGCCCCGAGCTCGGAGAATGCAAGTCTTTCCCTTTCTTCACTCCAGAGGGAGATGCTATCTTTTTCTTCAAAAGTCGTTCAAATTTCTTCAGGTTGTTTGCTACACAAACATGCCTGAAAACATAGTCTGAAAGGAAGGACAGTCAATGCCGTGCTCTCAAGATGTGCAGAAACTCAAGAGACTCATGGAGAATGGTCTCTCAACAAGGTCCATTTCACTATCCCACTGGTCCCTTAAATACGGTGCACAGTGAAACCAAATTCATTATCATCTTCCAAACCGGTGCCTTTCTGACTTCCCTATATTGGGTTAATGGTACTATAGTGATTTCCGTACTTCTATACATCAGTATAGGCTAAAAGCCAAAAAAATACTTATAAAATAAACCCAAAAATCTCTGCGGCTTAAACACAACGAAACTTTATATCACTCCTTTGCAAAACCCAGTTCACATGTTCCTGGGAAAATGACTCTCCTGGGCAGCTCCCTTCCAAAAAATAAATGAAGTCCGCAGCCTCCTCCTGTCTTACGGCTCTTCCATTTTATGGCTTCAGAGCCCCTTGGCATAATCCCATGAGTAGTGGTTCAACCCGGTGGGTCCCTTCTTTTACCATCTTCCTCTGGAGCCTTGCAACGGCCTGCCTCGTCTCACATCCCATCACTTCTGCTGCAGAAATCCATCAAAACTCCTGTCTGATTGTGTCATTTGTCCCCTGAAAATCCTTCACTGTCATACCATTTTGTGCAAAGTAGAAAGTCCAAAGTCCTTAACAGAACATAAAGGCTCTCTTTGATCTGGTCCCTTCCTGTCTTTCCGGCCTCACTGCCAGGGTTATCCCACATGCACCCTCTGTTCTTACCACACTGAATGACTAATAGTTCCCTGAGTTTTAGTTGCTCTGCTTTACCTCCCAACGTTTGCACCTGTTGCTTCTCTTGCCCATAGTCATCCCTTCCACCATGTGCCCGCTCCCCACACACCACCCCCCACCCCTGCCACACACATGTCATTCGCCTATGTAGCAAACTTCTCGTCCTTATATACTTAAATACTCCCTTGGAGCGTCCCTTCGTTAGGGCTCCAGCATCCAGCACCACACAGACCACACCTGAAGAACACTTGGGGGAGGAAAACTTAGAGACAGAAGTAACAGCGCCCAGACCTTCCCCATTCTGCACCACGACCCGGGAGGGCTTGCGGGGACTAAGCAGAGCTGGCATTAGTCTCTAAGAAAAGACACTCAGCCTGGCATTATTTCGTGCATATGAGCAGCTGCCCAGTCGTGTAAGTACTAGGCCCTCCCCTGGCATGAGCGGAGTCTGGGTCCCACGCCCTGCAGGGCCTTCCAGCCCGGGTCTGCAGCTCAGCTTTCTATCGGGACTGACTGTCCTGCCTTAAGCATTCAGCTGTAGCCAGTTTCTGTGGAGCAGAGTCCAGATTCCAGCGGGCCATTCCACAGGAGGCCAGCTCCATCTCCGGGAGGCCAGTCTTCAAGGATGAGTCCTGGACCAATGGACCTCACCTCTCAGTTCGCCTCCCTAAATTCAAAGGGCACCTCATCCCATCAGTATTTCGCCACCATTGCAACCACAGGGACTGAGTCCAGTCTCGACATCACTCTCGGGAGGCACTGCAGGACAGACCACAGGCCATCAGATCCACACCCAGCCGCAGAAAAAGCGGTCACAGGGTCAGAGCTGGCTAACTGGGAGCAGCTGCACAGAGCCCACTGCTTCTAGGGGCTCTGAACTTGATGTGATGCTCTGCTGTCCCTGTCTTGAAATTTTTAGGGTTTTGAACAGGGCGCCATGTTTCCATTTTGCGCTAGGCCCACAAATTAATGTAGCCAAGCCTGGCTGGCTGTTCCCCGGCGTATCTTAAACAGCCAACCTCCCCACTCTGTATGAAGGACACTGATTTTCCTGCCTCACCACTGGTGTTGGCCGTAGCTGACACGACGTGTGGGCCAGCAGGCAGTCACACGCTAAGCAGGCCAATGGCAAGTCTGGAGGGATCCTGTTGTCTAAAATCACCCCAGTCCCTGGAGGCAGGCCAGTCGCTGGATCTCTGTGGTCTGGGAAGTCTCGCCTGCTCTTTTGCCAACTGTAGCTAACAGACCGGTATTGTCATCAGCTCCACTACCCCATCCAAGAATGAGGTCACTTGAGAAACCGTAGTACCTCCTATATCCCAGCGGGATATCCCACCCCTGCAGGAAGTTTGCTCACTCCCACGGGGCCAGGGGACAGCCATCTGGACAGCGCCGTGTATAATCACAGGGACCGGTCAGTAGCGGTTCTCCCCAGCCACAGGCATGGTGATGCCAGGAGGACAGGCTCCCCATGGTCTGCAGCATCGCCCTCAAGCCCCCTCCGAGGGCATTTCTTGTCGTCCTGGCAGGACAAGGATGGCCGCTTGGCCCCAGAGCCGAAAGCCCATGGCCAGCAGTTGGTCTCACTTCACCATTGGGCTGTCACATGGGGTTAGCACTGTTAGTGAGCCCGTTCCTACCACTAGTCTTGGTCTGTGAGGACGAAGATGTGCTTTGCATTTGAATCCCCAGTAGCCACACGGCGGGCATCAGTCAGTGTCCCCTTCCACAGGCTGTATTGGCCAGATGGTGCCAGCCCTGGGTTGAAGGTTAACTGAGCTATGACATCAAACTCACTTCGTTTCACTGTCTTCCACTGACCCTTAATTTGCAGGACTCGTGCTTAAAGCTCACGTCAACTCATCGGTCACATTTTTAACGATCAGTGGTTGCCTGAATGACCCACGTCTTGTTCGCTTGCGTCCAGCTAGGAATGTTTTTGTGTCAACCTGTTCTTCTTGCCTTTCCCACGGCTTTGGTTTTTCCTGAGTTTCTAATATTCGGGTATGTGTTTTTATAAGCCGAATCAACAAGATACATTATTTCAGATGCTGTTACTAACATAACTTAAAAAACTAAAAAAAAATCCTTTCAAAAGTAAGTTTGTCAAATCAGTGAACCCGTGCTTTATTTCTCTTAGTTACCTTGTTGGATAAAACTAAGTTATTCAGAGCTTTGCAGGCCAACTTATAAAATGCCGCTTGGTCTAGTTTCTGGAATAGAGTCATGCGGCGGGAGGGCAAACAGGACTCAGTTCTCGGAGCTTAGGCACAGACCTAAAGGCCAAGAAGAATGCAGCAGGCGGCGGCCGCTTTCCTCGGAGAAAGGCATCCACGGGCGGGCCCAGGAGAGGCTGCCAGGCTTCGCCCTCTGAGACTTGTCAGGGAGTTGAGACTCCTGGGAGGGCCTGTTTGGGAGTCCCTGGTGTGCTGTGCAGGGTTGGGGCAGGGGAGAGGCTTCCTGCAGACCACTCACGAGTGTGACCGGTATTCCTCGGAGCTGGAGTTCATGTTCCTGAAGGGTTTATTGCAAACTGGGAAGAAGTATGGCCAAACAATAAAGAATGGATTTATACACCATGTCAGAAGTGGCGAGCTCCTGTATCAAGAGCATTGAGAGCCCTTGGGACAGTCTAGGACAGGACCCACCATTCCCCATGTTGCCACCAG